TCTCTCTCTCAAATAAATAAATAAAATCTTTAAAAATAAAAAAAATAAAAATAAAATAGGCGGTCGGGATGGGGGGCGGCATTCGGCGTACTTTTTTGTCTACATTAGCATACATTCAGATGTTCCCGTAATTTACAAAACCTTTTTTAATGTATACCGACGAACAAAATTGAGGACCTTTGAGGTCGTAGTTGTTAATATCTCATTTTATCAGATTTTAAAGTGACCAGTGTGCTTCTCTATTTTTGGTCTGTTTTGTGGGGAAAAACAGCTTTTCTGCTATTGTTATTAGATCAGTAAACTTTTCTGAATCTAGTAGTTGTATTTTAGCTATAAAACGATTGTTACTGGGACGCCTGGGTGGCTCAGTTCTTAAGCGTCTGCCTTAAGCTCGGGTCATGATCCCAGGGTCCTGGGATCGAGTCCCGCATCGGGCTCCCTGCTCAGCGGGGAGTCTGCCTCTCCCTCTGCCCCTCCCCCTGCTTGTACTCTCACTCTCTCTCTAGCAAAGAGATAAATAAAACCTTTAAAAAAAACTGTTACCTTTAAACTTCGTAAATTTCTGTTATTACTTGGTTTTTAATTCAGGCTTTCAAAGGTCATCAGCTTTGCCAGCTTAAAAGTAACTTCATATGAAATCTATACTTAGTGTTTAGTCAAATCACCATTGATAATGCATTGATCCATTCAGGGTACTCCTTAACCTAACCTCCAGGTCGTCAGCACTAACATTTTATTTTGATAAACACATGTACTGAACAAATTTGAGTTGATGCAAGCTTGGTTATTTTTAAATCATATTACCTACTTGCCACTGTGCCTCATCTGTATTTCTTCATTCACTCATGAGACAGTGTTGCCACTCCGTACCAGCCATGATGCTATCATGCATAGGAGGTTTTTTCTAAACTAGGAGAGCATACACATTCTAACAGGGGAGGCAGATGTGAGCAGTAGCTCAGCTCCAGGTAGTTCAGGGGAGAGCTACCTGGGAGAGACACTGGGGGGGTGGAAAGGCGTTCACCAGGTAGGTGAGCACATTTAGAAGTGGCTAAGCTTAGGGGTGTACAAGAGTAGGTAGACAGATGCCAGCAAATCTGGGCTTCTCCGGCCATCGCGGAGAACAGTTAGAGGCCTTGGGCTTTAGAAAGGGTAAAGATGCACTCAGAAGGAGAACCGGTGTTTCATTCCATAGCTGGTTTGCAGTATTTCATTGCTTCAGGATAAGAGGGCCTAAACCGGTGCATTTCAGAGCTAATAGGAAAATGAATAACAAGAAAACACTTGGGGGCACCTGGCTGGATTGGTCAGTGGAGTGTGTGACTCTTGATCTCAGGGTTGTAGATTCGAGCCCCATGTTGGATGTAGAGATTACTTAAAAAAAAAAAAAAAAAATTCCTTAAAAAAGAAAGAAGAAAACCCTTGAGCCTTCCCAGGAAGCTGAGATTTTGATTCTGTGAGTCAGGGCAGGACCCAGGAGCAGCCTGCTTATTTCCTGGGTCAGGTGGTTCAGAATTCAGAGAAACCACAACTTGGGGGTTAAGCAATGAAAAAGTTTTAACGAGAGAACGTCTGTATGATCTTCATTTTTAAAGTTACGGTCTGTAGGTATAGGTCAGTATCTTGAGCAAAGTTGATTTTATTTGAGTCAGAGGAGGATGGGGCAGGCAGGGCATTCTTGCACTGAACTCCTTGTTCCCTCGTGCCCTGGTGCCCACCATTCTACTTTGGGTCTCTGTGAGTTTGACGACTGTGAGGACCTCATCTAAGTGCAGTCATACAGTGCTTGTCCTTTTGTGACGGGTTTATTTCACTGAGCTTGATGTCCTCCAAGTTCACCTGTGATGTAGCACAAGTCAGAATTTCTTCCTTCTTAAGGCTAATACCCCATAATCTGTACAGATCACATTTGTTTAGCCATTCATCCCTCGATGGACATGAGAGTTGTCTCCACTCTTATGAATAATGATGCCACAGTAATGATGTACATGGGCTGTACAAATACCTGTTCGAGTCGCTGCTTTCCGTTCTCATGGGTATATACCTAGAAGTGGGATTGCTGGGTCACACAAGAATCCTAATGTTTAACTTTTTGAGGACCTACATACCATTTTCCATGGTGGCTGCACTGTTGGTCTTTCTACCAGCACCGCACAGGGGTTCCAATCTCTCCCTGTGTTGCCAACACTTGTTTTCTGCTTTCTTTTCTCTCTCTCTCAGTCTTTTTTAAAAACTCACAGCCGTCGTCCTGGGTGCGAAGTGCTGTCTCATTGTGCTTTGTGGTGCACAGAGCCCTAATAGTCCGGGACTGCTTCGGGAAGGCTCCGAGGTGTGAGACCTTTGTGTTGGCTCCCTCCCTGGGCTGCAGGACCGTTGCATGGCCCCCACACCAGGGATGTCTTCAGAAACTAAGTTAAGAAGCACACACAGACTTACACATCCTAGTTCTAAACTCTCCGGGTATTTTTAAATGTCTGTCTTCGTGGTGCTTGAATTTTAGTCTATTTCTTGGCCTTTAAAAAGCTGCCTATTGGGGCGCCTGGGTGGCTCATTTGTTAAGCGTCTGCCTTCGGCTCAGGTCATGATCCCGGGGTCCTGGGATCGAGCCCCACGTCGGGCTCCCTGCTCGGCGGGAAGCCTGCTTCTCCCTCTCCTGCTCCCCCTGCTTGTGTTCCCTCTCTCGCTGTGTATCTCTGTCAAATAAATAAAATCTTAAAAAAAAAAAAAATTACGTATTTAATGGGGTGCCTGGGTGGCTCAGACAGTTACGCGTCCAACTCTTGGTTTTAGCTCAGTCATGGTCTTGGGGTCGTGAGATCGAGCCCCACGTAGGAGCTCCGCACTCGGCAGGGAGTCTGCTTGGGATTCTCCTCTCTTCTCCCTCTGTCCCCCGACCCCCACTGTGCATGTGCACGAACTCTCGCTCTCTCAAATAAATAAATAAGTAAAATCTTAAAAAAAAAAAAAAAACACCAAAAAACTAGCTATTAAAGAAATAGGTGTGGATTAAACCCTAAGTGGGAATATAGGAAATGATACCACCTCGGGTCTCCCGCTTCCCTGTCTTACTTGGACACCTCTAGGCGTTGTTGAGAACTGACCTCAACACTGTGAGAGAAGATAAGAATGAGGAGGACAGAACCATTCTGTTTGGTTACAGCTTACTTAGTTGCTTTTGTTTGCACCTCTTCATTTTATTTTATTTTATTTATTTTTTTAAAGATTTTTTATTTATTTATTTGAGAGAGAGAGTGAGAGAGAGCAAGCACATGAGAGGGGGGAGGGTCAGAGGGAGAAGCAGACTCCCTGCCGAGCAGGGAGCCCGATGCGGGACTCGATCCCGGGACTCCAGGATCATGACCTGAGCCGAAGGCAGTCGCCCAACCGACTGAGCCACCCAGGCGCCCTGCACCTCTTCATTTTATAGAGCTGAAGTTTCAGCATGCAGAATTCAGATTTTTGTGAAAGATGAGGTTTGTTCCTGGCGTGAGGACACTGAATACACAGACAGTGATGCTGCTCGCCCTGCTGTCTCGCTCCACCTGGTGGCATGATTTAAAAAATGAAATAAAAGCGCCAGGGCAGTCAGTTTTATAATGACCTGTCCACGGCCTTTGCTAATGGGAGTATTTCCCATTTTTCCTCCTGAAATAGATGGTAATAGTGAAATGTCGCATATGTAAGAGTTCCATTAAAGCACCACTGGTAATATTGGAATCTATTAAAAGCAAAAGTGTGAAGTTACAATGTTCCAATTATTCATAGAAATTCCCACTGAATAAAGAGATTATGGATGACAATGCAGAGGAATAATTACACTAAAGAGTCCAACAGGAAAAATTGAGAAAGTCACTGGTAAAGCAGCCAATTTGTGGGGGAGATCTTACAGATTCCTACAGAGAGATAAAAACATAGTCCTCTATACAGGTTTAAGTTTGTAAAATACTATGATTTAAAGATTTCTAATATGCAAATACTTCATTGTGTTGGTAGGTTACGTTAATCAATCTCCCCTTTTAAAATACTAGTGTTCCTCCCCAACTTGTTTTCTCCGGTAAAATCAATATGGCTGTTAGCCTGCCTAAAAACAAACATGAAATTTTAGACCACAAATTTGCACACATATCTTTGCTGAGGAAAGTGCTCAGGGTTTAAGATGGTTCCGTGAGTGATCATCGTTACGTACGAGGCATGAACGTGAGTCACGAGTCCTTTTGAAAGTCCGGGCTTGCCCTTCGGGGGTCGTGGACGTGGCTCCGGGGTGAGGTGAGTTCGTGCGGGTGGTGAGCACTTGAGGCCCCGAGCCTTCTGCAGCTGGACTCAGGACTGTCAGGGAGGAGAGCTCTTCGCAGAAGAGCTGCTCTAGTTCCATACTTAGAGGTGTCAGTGTGCCCCCAAAACTGAAATCCCGGGACAGATTTGATGTGATTTTAGACACAGAAAGTTGTTTTGATGTAGCCTAGAGAGGAGTTTAGACGACCACGGCGCAGTCCCTGTGCGGTCACTGGAAAGGGCATTGCCATCTGATCAGGCAGGGTGACTGGGGCTTTGGAAGTCCTTTACCTGATCGTTTCCCGGGTCCTTTGTCTTCGAATCACTCAGTACATGCTCATTTATTACCTGTTGTTAATCCACTTAAGGTAAGGAGTGGTAGTTTGTACATTAAAACAGAGCCGCAAGCGTGAGGCCCAGGTGACAGATGGCCCGTCAGCGGGAGGCGAGCACGGGAGGCATTGTGGCCTCTCCCTGGAGCAGAGACGAGCAAGGAGATGTGGGTGCAGAGCCTTTCTTAGGCCTCTGGTTCCAGCGTGGATCACGAGAGTTAATGAGAAGGGAGGCGTCATCTAGAACGTGCACTGTGGAAAGAAGCAAATCCAATAAAGCTTTGTAACGTCTTTAGCATGAGATGGCCACGTAACCACTGGGTGTACGATGATTTCAGTATAGCTCTTCAGCAGATGGTAAAATGGCCTTTCTCTCAAGTGGTAAAAAAAAAGCTGGCTGAAATGCCGTTGCCCAGAGCGGGAGGCGTTGTCTTCATTATGACAGAACCACGAGGGGGACGTTTTCGCGGTTTCCGTAGCCCGCAGTCTGGGCAGCGCTCTGTTTTCACCCCCCGAGGTTTGCCACCCACGGGTCATTCGGGAATGGCTTGTTCACTTACTGTGGATTTGTCTTCTGGTTCTTCATCCTCAGCACAGACGGCCTCCTCCAAATGCATCTGAGTAAGCAAACTTTAACAAGTGCATTCTTGTAAATGAGGCTGGTGTGTTTATAATTGGCTGTGCTGTTTTGTCAATCACCTTTGGTTTATGTGAGTTTAGAGAACCACAGTTCTAAGTAGACCAAGCAGAAGTATCACCATCTTATTAATGACGAAAGCAGTTCCCGGGGCGAGGTGAGTTGCGGGCGTCGGCGTTACCGGGAGCGGGGAGAGCCGGTGTGTGGCCCCAGCTCCCACCGAGGGCTTCCCGTGACGCTCCAGCACAGCCGGCACCGCTCACCAGCTCTGTGCTAGACCGACAGGCTGTGCGAGTGTGGCTACCTAAGGACAGAGCGTTGTCCTCTGAGGTTCAGTCATCTGAACGACGGTCAGTCACCTCTAACGGACCGCTGTCCTCTGAGTCCTGTTGAAAGTACTTCAGGGGCGCCTGCCCGGCTCAGTCCGTGGATGTGCGACTCCTGATCTCGGGGACGTGGGTTCAAGCCCCACGTTGGGTGTAGAGATTGCTTAAACATAAAATCTTTAAAAATAATGAAAGAATAAAGTATGTCATAGTGGTAACAACATGATGGAGACCTTCACTCCTTGGGCTGTATTTTCTCCAGAATGAATCCCTTTGGACATGTGTTCATTTTTTGGTTCATATCTTTGCCCCTTGTGATTCATAATTTGTTTTAACTTTTAATTATTAGAGAAAGAGTGTGCACCTGTGTGTGAGTGGGGGGGAGGGGCAGAGGGAGAGAGAATCTCAAGCAGGCTCCCCACTAAGCACGGAGTCCGACGCGGGGCTCGATCTCACGACCCTGAGATCATGAGCTGAGCCGAGATCAAGAGTCGGATGCCCAAACAACTGAGCCACCCAGGCGCCCAGATTCCTACTTTTTTAAGACAAAGTTGCCATGATGACGTTGCTGCGTCACTCCTTAGTGCTTTGGAGAAAGCGCGGGTGGCTGACAACCCTAAAGACGGAACAGGATGCCCGGCTTTGGAGAATGCTGTCACGTGTGCCAGCAGACTGGTGTCACACCAGCTACACGGCTTTTTATGTAGATTCTCACATACAAAGCAGTGCTGTCACGTTTCTTTGAAGTAGCTGTTTCTTGCTTTCATTTTACTCTGGTCGTACTGAGAATTTCCAGACCCTTATTTTAATGTTTACAGGTAGTCGAACTGAAGTTTGGTGGGAAAGACATTCCTGTCACCAGTGCCAACAGGATCGCGTATATCCACCTTGTCGCCGACTACAGGCTGAACAGGCAGATCCGTCAGCACTGTCTGGCCTTCAGACAGGGCCTGGCCAACGTGGTGAACCTGGAGTGGCTGCGAATGTTCGATCAGCAGGAGATCCAGGTACACTGCTCTCTGGCGCTTGGGGTCACAGCTGTCACGTGACACAGAAAAGCTGTCATAAAATCTACCTCAAATTTATGAATCGAACCTCTTTTTCAGGTGTTAATTTCTGGTGCACAAGTTCCCGTAAGTCTAGAGGACCTGAAGTCCTTTACAAACTATTCAGGTATGTTGTCACTACTAGTTACTAATCCTGAAAATGTTATGGATGATATTTCCAAACTAAGTTTTCATATACTTTGTTCGGTAATTCATCCACATGGCTTAGAGCCCAGCAAGTGAGGTGAGCGGTACAGGGACATCCCCAGCTGTCCCGTTCTGCTCTGCCTCTCCCACCACAAGTAGACACTCCTCTTGGTTCTTTACATATTTACGCACAAATACAAAGTTAATTCTTAGTTTCCTCATCTTTACACACGATTCTGCCTCTTGTGGTTTTCTCTTCACACCAGGTCTTCTTAGCTCTCTACGAACGTATTGGGTTGCTTCCAGTCTTTTGCTTTTAAAACCGTGCTAGCGAAAAAAAGAACCCCAAAAAAACAAACAAAAAAAACTACTAACAATTAAAAAGAATAAACAAAAAAACTGGACCTCATTTTTATTAAATTAAACTCAAAAGTTTCTGCTCTTCAAGAAAATGAAAAACCAAAAAGAAGATATATAAATGGCCAATAAACACATAGAAAGATGCTCAACAGCATTAGTCATCAGAGAAATAATAAGATTGTTCAGAGGTGGAATTGGTGTATCTTTTGGGCATTTGTAAGTTTTTTTTAGATTAACCTCATATATACTTAGGAACAGTGAAAAGAAAAAAAAAAATCATCCTTAAAACAATTACTGTAATTTTAGTGAATTTTCATAGTCTATTCTAGTAATTTATAGTGTACATTCTGTTTGTTTAGCATCAGAAATGAAAAAAAAACTATTTCCAACATACAGACTCTCCTGCTGTCCTGCCCGCCCTTGAGGTGTATTCAGTAAACTTCTGTCTCCTTAAAAAATAAATATATATATTTTTTCAAGCTGTTACTCTTGCAATTAATTTTTGAGGTTAAATAGATACATATGATTCATTTAACCTTCCACTGTAATGAACAGTTTTGTGTATATTTCTAGGTATAAAGTCTTTTTTATTTTTTAATGAGAGAAGCCCAGAAGTTAAATTGCGTATTAGAGGATGGGAAGACTTCAGGGGTGAGATTAGGATGTATAGGACTCAGGGAAAGTGTGGCACGCAGGGGCGCCTGGGTGGCTCAGTCATTAGGCGTCTGCCTTCAGCTCAGGTCATGGTCCCAGGGTCCTGGGATCGAGCCCCGCATCGGGCTCCCTGCTCAGCGAGAAGCCTGCTTCTCCCTCTCCCACTCCCCCTGCTTGTGTTCCCTCTCTCACTGTGTCTCTCTCTGTCAAATAAAAAAAAAAGTGTGGCATGCAGTATTAGCATTTAGGAAATGGCGTACATTCTTGAGCTTGCTTGAGGCTAATTCCACACTTTCAGTTTTTTTTCTCATCTGTAGGAAACTGTCCAAATCTTAAATACATTTTATAAAAATCTGCAGTTGTGAGCCATTGATTCTTACTTTTATTGTGCACACGGACATTTTAAAGTATATTTTTTTATTATTTTCTCCCAAAGATGTGTATGTATGTATGTATTTATTTATTTATTTGAGAGAGAGCATGAGAGCACGAGTTGGGGAGGAGCAGACAGGGGGGGCCAAGCAGACTCTGTGCTGATCACGGAGCCCAACATGAGGCTCAGTGCAAGGCTCAATCCTAGGACCCTCATGATCATGACCCAGGCCGAAACCAAGAGTCGGGCGCTTAACTGACTGAGCCACCCAGGCGCCCCTGAAGTATTTTATATACCAGCACGCCTGGCTGGCTCAGTTGGAAGGACACATGACTCCTGATCTCAGGGTCATGGGTTCGAGCCCCACCTTGGAGGTAGAGATTGCTTTTTAAAAAAACAAAACATAGGGGCACCTGGGTGGCTCAGTCATTAAGCGTCTGCCTACGGCTCAGGTCGTGATCCCAGGGTCCTGGGATCGAGCCCCACATCGGGCTCCCTGCTCAGCGGGAAGCCTGCTTCTCCCTCTCCCTCTGCCCCTGCTTGTGTTCCTTCTCTCGCTGTGTCCCTCTCTATCAAATAAATAAATAAAATCTTTAAATATATATATATATAACATTTTTATTTTTATATATTTATATATATAAAAATGTTTTATATATCTTAGAAAATTTAAAATATATCCTTAAGTAAATGCGATGATGAAACTGCGTGCATGTGATAGCACATCTTTGAAGATGGGGTTGAGTAAGATCTAAGCAAAAGTGTTAAGTGGTCGTGGGATGATGAGGCACCTTTGCTTCTGTAAGGTATTATTTCCCTTTCTTTATTATCTGTTATACACTGCATAAATCACTTTTCAAAACCAAGAAAACTTTAGAAAACCAAAAACGAAAACAGCACCTGGCTGGCTCCCTTGGTGGAGCGTGCAACTCTTGATCCCTTAATGAATTTACAGGTGACTTTTCTTCATTGTCCTTCTCTCTTTTCTGAATATTATGAAATGAAAATTTCTCTCAGAACAGTATTTAAGCCTTTAAAAACATATCCTGTATGGGAGTTCCAGCTACAGCTGAGTAAGGAGAGGATTTCTCTCCTCAAAGATCACCATTAGCCTAGTATCAAAAGCAAACAGAAATAACACAAGAAAATAATAGATTAATATCCCTCAGGAACATAGATGCAAAAATCCTTGAAATATTAGCAAACCGAATCCAGCAGCTAAGTAGCATTTACAGCATGAATGCAAGGTTAATTTGACATCTGAAAATGTGTTAATGGAATATGCAGTGTTGGCGGTATAAAGAACAAAACCCATATGGTCGTCTCAGTAGATGCAGAAGAGAAAGAAAAAAGCAAGTGCGTCCCTTGAGCATCTAAGCATCTCCTACCCGTTCAGGATGAAGACCCTCAGGGAACCAGGAACAGAAGGGAACTCCCTCACGCTGATGCAGGACTTACACAGTACTTCGTAGCAGCCAGCACACGGTGATGGAAGGTTGAATGCTGCCTTCCTAAGTCAGAGGCACTTGACTGGGGTTTCTAGCTAGTACAGTAAGGTGGGAGGGAGGAAAGGAAGGAGAAAAACATCCAGGTTGGAAAAGAAAAGTGAAAGAAGTAAAACTGTGGGCACCTGGGATGCTCAGTCGGTTAAGCGTCTCTGACTCTTGGTTTCGGCTCAGGTCATGATCTCAGGGTCATAAGTTCAAGCCCCATGTCAGACTCCGAGCTGGGTGTAGAGCCTCCTTAAGATTCTCTCTCCCTCTCCTCTCCCTCTGCCCCTCTACCCCCCAAAAAGGACTTAAGACTGTCTTTCTTCATAGATAGCTTGACAAAAAAACAAAAAAACTAAAAAACTTTCAGCACCAATCAGTATACACAAACCAATTTTGTTTTTATGTACAATCCAAGAATGGAATTACTTCAACAGTTCATTCAGAGTAACAGCAAAAAGAATAAAGTACAAATGCAGCAAAGTAAGGGTACACGCAAGACCCGTACACTCCAAACTGCGTGACAGCACTGAGAGGAAATGGAGAGACAGCCCGTCGTCATGGGTCAGAGACTCCGTATCGTCAAGATGTCATTCTCTTCGAGTTAATCTGCAGATTCAGTGCAACCCCTACCAAAATCCCAGCAAAATCCCTGTTTGTAAAAATACACAGGTTGATTTTAAAACTCATTTGGAAATGTAAAGGACCTAAAATAGCCGAAACAGTTTTGTAGAAGAACAGCTATAGGAGTTATACTGTGATTTAAAACTTACCGTATGGCTGCAGTAGTCAAGACATTGTGGTATTGGCACAAGGATTGGCATATTGATCGATGGGACAAAATCAGGAGTTCAGAAACAAATCCTCACGTTTACGGTCAGTTGACCATTCACTTGACAATACAGTCGTGCTGGGACAACATATTCACATGGAAAACAATGAGCTTAGACCTTCACCTCACACCGTGTGCAAAAACTAGCTCAACAGGATCAGAGGCCTGTCGGTAAAAGCCAAACCTGTGAAACCTCTAGAAGAACATAAAGGAGAAGATCTGCCTGGCTTTTGGATTAGACGGAGTTTTTGGTTGTACACCCAAGAGCACGGGCCAGAAAAAAGAAATCGATAAAAAGTTGGGACTGCCTCAAAATTAAAGCTTTTGTGCTTCAAAAGATACTATTAAGAAAATGAAAAGACAAGCCACAGATGGGGAGAAACTGTTCAGGTAATATATATAATATATATATGAAGAACGCTTACAACTTAGTAAGACAAGCAATTGAATTTAAAAACATGGCCAAAAAAAGTTTGACCTGAGAAGATATATATAAATGGCCAGTAAGCAAATAAGCACAGGAACAGTTGTTTGACACAAAATCAAATCCTAATGAGAGATTACTACATACCCACTAGAGAGACTGTAATCAAGAAGATAGACAGGGTGCCTGGGTGGCTCAGTTGGTTAAGCGACTGCCTTCGGCTCAGGTCATGATCCTGGAGTCCCAGGATCGAGTCCCGCATCGGGCACCCTGCTTGGCAGGGAGTCTGCTTCTCCCTCTGACCC